TATTCATTAGGAAAATGAGAAGTAACAATTAAAACAACATGATAGGACATAGTAGCCATCATATAACAAAATTTGGAAACCAAATAATACCAAGTATTGGTCAGGATACGGAGAAACAAAGATCATCTTATGCTGCTGATGTGAGTGTAAATTCACTTGGCTACTTTGGAGAACAATTTGGTGATGTCTGATACAATGGAAGTTAATATATGCCATCAATTCCACTTATGGATATATACCCTAGAAAATTTCTCACAGAACACATGCAAAAGAAATCCATGATGTTTGCTAAAGCAACTTTTTTAATTGGGAGAAACTAGAAACAGCAAAAATATCCATTGACAGGAATGAATAATTGAACAAATAAATGTGATGTAAAGCTACATAGGAGTTAAGAATGAATGAAGGTTTTATTTATCTACATTAATAGAACCAAAACTTAATTACAGAGGGAAAAAAAGTAGAATGGGATATTATAACATTACTTATGTAAATTAAATAGTAAAAAATATATATATCATTCATGGTTACTTATCTCACTTTCTATATAATGCATATATATATAAACTAAGTATATTTGTTAAAATAATTGATGCATATTAACATAGAAAATATAATTTATAATAGGGAAATTTGTAGAATAAAATATATCAATACCAAGATTATGGTTCCATTTGTGATACATTGAAATAGTGACAGATACTTCAACTTCTTTCCAATTTTATATCAATTATACTAATACATGTCAATTCTGGATATATATTATATCCTTTTTTAAAACTTTCCAGTATGTATGAAAGTTCTAAGACAAAGATATTTAAAGTCAATAATTCAGACAGAGTTATTGAAATTTCAAATCCAAAAAAATGTGACTAATGCACCTCTCTGAGTTAATTCAATGTTATACAGCAATTTTCTGATACAATTACTTAAATAATTAATTAATTAGGGAACAGATAGATATCTGAACAGATCAATATTTTTAAAAATTCTGACAGGTTACCTGGTTGTGAATATTCCAGGATACATGCAAAAGTGCTACAAATTAGAGCTGTCCACTGTTTTTGAGTTTCCTCAGTTTTGGCCATTGAAAGTGTCACAATAATTTTAATGTCTTGAAAAGCTGCACTGATGGGTAGAGGAACCTGATTGTCTGCAGACTTTATTGCTTTATCTTTTAATATTCTTGTAATTAAGAACAGAATTGTGGGCAGGATTGTCATACATCCTAAAATAAAAACAAAGCAGATTACCTCATAATTACTCAATGCCACTGTAGAAGTTTCCATTCCTTATTTTTTTACAATTAATTATGTTTGTCTTTTTTCCCTCTTCTTTTAGACAGGGTCTCACTGCATTTCTCTGGCTGTCCCCATATCCCTAGGCTAAAGTTATCCTTCTGCCTCAGGCTTTGGAGTAGCTGGGACTAGAGTGCATGCCACCATGCCTGGCTGACTATGGTTTCATATTATTTATTTTCTTTGTTTTTATATAAAAATTGCTACATTACTTTTACTATAATTCAATGTTTGAAAAAGAACATAAGAAATTACCATGTTATTTTAGAGAAGAGAGAACTGATATTTCTTTTTTCCAACCCAGCCATTTTATTACTGCTAATATTTCACCTATTTAGTAGTCCTGCCCTTCATAATGAAAATGAGAAAGGAAGATAGAAAAACAGAAGGAGAATACTACCATATACTTTGAGAACCATCTAAGTTACCTGGTGAAACTTATTAGTAATTCTAAAACATATAATTAACCTTCAGTGTACCAAAGCCAGCCTAATCAAGCCAGGAAAATGAGAAGACTACTGAGGTAAGCAAAGAAGAAATTATAGGATCCCAGAATTTGTGGGTAAAAATTCAACCATAGTGGTGGGGGTGGGGGGCCTGGGGTTGTGGCTCAGTGGTTGAGCATGTGTGAGGTGCTGGGTTTCATCCTCAGCAGCACATAAAAATAAATGAAATAAAGGTATTGTGTCCAACTACAACCCAAAAAAAATAACAACCATCCACTTAACAAAAGAATCCCTTCACTATTCTTATAGGCAGCTTCCTACAAAACTCCAAGGAGAGAAAGTCATTCTTTTTACACATGTAGGGTAACTGTAAGAATAAAAAAATTGTCCCTTGGTTATACTGAAATTTACCAGTATGTTTACTAATAATTAGTTTTACTTTCTAGCAAAACAAGGAAAGTTTGCTTCCATACAACAGTTTTTCAATATCTATTATATTTACTAGTCATGATTTCTTTAGATACTCCTTAGAGTTGGCTATCACTCTCCTCTGAAATTCTTTAGCTTTTCAATGTTGCTCATGAATGTCAACCAGATTAGAAAATAATGAGCTTTGTAATTCTACCTTACTATCTTCCCCAGTCTGCAGTTCTGTCTTGTTTGAAACATATCTGAAAAGACAGCTTAGGTCTTTCATGTTTTGAATCTTTAATCTTTATAGGATCTTAAAAGTACATAAATCTTTTTAAAAGACTAACTTCTCATTCCACAATTGAGATTTAAGAGAAAAATAAATTATAAGTGTTTAAAATTTAAGGCAAGATCACTTTCACTACTGCATATAATGCATTTTGAAATACTGATCAATACTGTACCAGCAGGTGAACAAAGGGACGGTAAATCATAGAGAATGGTGACTGTGGCTGCCACCAGACAAGCACTTTCTTCTGACAGCTGGGATTTAGTGGCTATGTGACTTGGAGAGTCTGACATCAGATGTGGCATATGCCGAACTAAAATGAACATCAATAGCTCCATAGTTGCAAACACAAGAGATTTTCCAGGAATGAGGCCACCACTGTCACCTCCTTCTCCTAATACTGGACAGGACTTTTTTCCATGTCATCTTCATATTAGATAAAAAATAATTTTAGTAAAATTTTCAGCAGAAAATTGAAAATGGCATATAAAATATCACAATAAATACCTTTAAGAAATTCCTTCAAAAGGATTTACAAGTAAATGCCTAAATAATGCTACATGTCTTTCTTAGTATAATTCTCTGTCTTACTAGAATTTTGTGTATTAACTTCTCTAAACAGATGGATAGTTATTTTTTACTTAGAAAATTTTAGGTAATTATTTCCTAATAAAAATAACACATACGCTAGGTTGAACTATGTGAAGTTGACATTTTTGGAGGGGAAAAATGATCAGCTATCAGCAATTTCATTTGGTCCTTTCTAATGAAAACAAACTCAGTTTCAAATTTTCTAAATGTATGATCATTTTCTAAATTATAAACCTCCTGGCATTACTACTTCAAAAATTAGAGTGTAAATAAGGTTTACTTTAAGTTAGTGTGATTTACAGTGCTTACTTAGAGTATTTCTTTTTTCCTGCAAATAATCCTGAGCAGCTCTTACTATCTGTTTTACAACTCCAGTAACCAACAGCTGGATGGATGGTGGGTTCCAGGTCAAAAGGAGATGATGCAAAACACTCAGCAACTCAACACCAATCAGCTATTATAAATTGAATCAAATAAGTTGAATTAATTTTAATTTTAAAGAATAAATGTATATTATTAAAAACTGAGAAAACATACATATGAAAACTAAGTATTTTACAATTAATATCAACATAGAGGACTGTGAAACAAGTAAGAATATTAACAATCCTGGGAAATGGTCACATTTCATTCTAACAGATTTTTAAGCAACAGATGTCTTGAATATTTAAGTTGAATCATTCTCCCACAGGTTAAAAAAATACTTGAGTTAAACATTACTTTTAGAGTTTAGTGCCCTTAAACCAAATCTAAGCTGAGTACTTGAGAGTTGTGTGCCACAGACAACAGGGATTTTTAGAGAGTCCCTCCTCTATTCACCTCAGCAAGGATTACAAACTTTCAGCTTTCACAGGTAATCTGCCAAATGAGTCTGCCTTAAATTTCAAAGTCAGAGAAAGCTCAATAGCAAATAAAGTACCTTTACCTCTTCCCTTAATGTTTCCACTTTATCTAATGCCCAGCTTCTTTCCCAAGTTGATTCATCTTTCTTCATGTGATCCCACCGTTCCCATCCTAGTTGACTTCCCAGGGATTCTTTAAGGATTTCAATCATATCTCATATGTCTTCAACCTCCCTGTCTAGTTAGACTATTCTCCTCAATATAAAGAAAATGTTCAATTCTTTCTTATCCAAAGCTCCCAAAGTCTCTCAGACCCTTTTATCTACCCACATGCCTCCTCTGTCTTGCTCCTTCCTTTCCCAGCCTAGATGTTTCTACTTCATTTACTTTCTCATTCACCCCCCTGATCTTCTACAATCTAGCTTTTACCAACCCAAGAAAATCCTCTGCAGAAGGTCTCTAATAACCTCCTCTGGACCCTTTTCTTTCCTCATTTATGTACTGTTTCTTTAGATGATATAATCTGCATTCTTTTTTTCTTTTGGTACTGGGGATTGAACCCAGGGGTGCTTAACCACTGAACCACATCCCCAGCCTCCTTTTTTTGTTTTGTTTTGTTTTCACTTTGAGACAGGGTCTTACTAAGATGTGTAGGGCCTCACTTAATTTCTGAGGCTTGGTTTGAACTTGTGATCCTCCTACCTCAGCCTTCAGAGTCACTGGGATTACAGGCATTAGCCACCACTCCTGGCCTTATCTGCCTTTCTTGACATTTCTCCCTTATCTTTGATAAACTGTTTCTGTTTTGGGTTTTCTCTTACCACGCTAGAGATCTCCAATGCTGATTTATTTCCTTCCTCTCAACCCTTAAATGGTATTTATCCTCAAGGCTTCAATCTTGATCCTCTTTTCTTCCTCCTTTAATCAGTTTTCCTAGACTAGTATATTATTTCTCTGAAATTATAAAGAGTCACTTAATTGGTCTCCTGCCTCCGTTCTTGTCTCACAAACAACCTTCTACAAGATTGATAGCATGTTCCTTCTGAAAAAAAATCATTCATGTCATTCCTTTATTTAAATATTGTTAATTACTTCCCATCAATTTCAGGATACAGTCAAAATTCTCTTATATGCTAAAAAGAAATCTTCATGATTTGGTTTTTGCCCTGTTGTCCAGCCTCATCTAATAACCTCTACATTTTGCATTCACAGAAACCACACTAAATGACTACAGTGTCCCTGAACTTCTCCTGTTTTCTCATGCTTCCTTAGTTTTTATATTTGCTACTTTATTCTTAGAGGAAAACCCAATTCTTTACTTTGGCCTCAATAATTCCTCAGTAACTGAACGGATAAAGAAAATTCAATGTGGTATATATACACAATGGAATATTATTCAGCCACAAAGAAGAATGAAATTATTGCATTTGCTGAAAAAATGGATGGAACTGGAGAATATCATGCTAAGTGAAATAAGCCAGTCCCAAAGTCCTAAAGGCCAAATGTTCTCCCTGATATGTGGATGGTAATCCACTACAAGGGAGTGTATGGAGAGGAAGAACAGAAGTTCATTTGATTAGACAAAGGGAAAGGAGTGGGGATGGGAATAGGAAAGACAGTGAAAGTTATAAATTGGACATAACTTTCCTAGGTTCATAAATTAATACATGACCAGTATAATTCTACATCATGTAAAACCAAAAGAATGATATCCTAATTAGAATAATATTCCATGTATGTATAATATGTCATGTATGTCTAAAAATAACAACTAATAAATAAATAAGTATAATTCCTCTGTAAGATATGATTCAACTATTGTCTTTCCTGAGGAGATATCCTTCTCAGGACAGTTCCTATTCTAAGAACACCTTATATGTATGAACAAAGTACATATTACATGATAGTTATCACTTAATTTAGAGGCTGTAACATTATGTTTGATTATCTATAGTTTCAAACTGTGTCTGAGGCAGAACAGAAAAAGAGTGACAGCAGCTAGGTGAATAAATACAACATGAATCAGTGCACTCTGACAATGTTGAAATTATAGGACCCAATTTTTTTTTAAAAAGTCCATTTTTCCCACAGTATAGCAATACTTGAATAAAATATCATTAAATCCAAAAAATAGCTAGCTGTGTAATATACTATATTATAACCCAAATGCTCGAATTTAAATATAGTAGTCACTCTTCTTTCATAGATCAAATCTTATAGGTTTAACTATCTGAAAACGATTCTAATATTAATTGTAGTAACTTGTAGTTCAAATTGAAGCACAAATTGAGGCCACAGGGTTGGGGTTCAAACAAGAGTTAATCAGTTATTGAATCCTATACTCACACAGCATATGTTATGTTTTAGTTTTAGATAGAATAAAATGCAAAACTAATTTTGACATAAAAAATTGGTATCAGGTTGGTATTTTATCTTTTTGTGTTTTATAGGAAACTATCCAAGTGACACCATATTGTAGTGGTGATGTCAAGAGATGAACTTTATTATAAAGATATAGAATTTCTAGTTACAAGGAATAACAAATCCAGTGGCAGCTTGGTTTTGTAATATGAATTAAGTTCCCTAGATGTTACACACTGAAATTAGAAAAGGTGGTTCTTTAAATTGTGAATGAGCTATTGGCCACCTCCCAGATTTCATTAAATGAGAGAGAAAACTTTATCTAACATTCAAAAGTGGCATAATTTGGGGCAGGAGTTGTGTTTCAGTGGTACAATTCTTGCCTGGCATGTGTGAGGCCCTGGGTTCATTCCTCAGCACCACACATAAATAAATAAAATAAAAGATCCACTTACAACTAAAAAAATATATTTTTTAAAGTGGCATAATTTACTTAATGGCCTTGTAAGTTACTTTAGCCTTTTACTACTTCAATTATTTCCTAACTCTCAAGTTATTCCTTAAAGTTTTAGTTTTATTTGATTGATGATAAACAAAACAAAGAAGGTATAATGATATCTATAGTCTACTGCTTCCTGGTCATCCAAGATTAAGTACAGAGAAATCTTGAATACTTATTATATATTGTCTTTCACTAATTTAATATATACTACTGTTATTAATTAATACAATATATATTTACTATCTGATAACATTATACTAATATAAATATAATTAAAACAAAGTATATAAATAGTTATTCATTTTAGAAATACACTGTACTTGATCTTCTGTGATATGGAACCCTTCATTTTAGAAATACACTGTACCTGATCTTCTGCAATATGGATCCGGGCACAAGGAGAATCAGCAAGGTGTGCAAGGCCTGTAGACATGTAGTAACATGCTCCACAGGCTTCTCAGGTCTTGGGGAACAAAGAAACTGTATACTCACATCTGAAATACACAGAATAGAAATTGATAGAAGACACTTTATGTTGTATTGGCATCACGTTTTTCCTCTATTTTTCATATAGATTACTTTAACCTACATTTATTTGTTAAAGTATAGTTCAAAATGGTTTCTAAGCTAAGCATTCAAACTGAACATACAGTTGTAGCATTGCATTGATTAATATTCAAACTAACATTTCTATTTCTGGGACCTTTTAAAATTACAGTATAGTAAAAGTAACTTTATGAACATTATAACATTACACTTTTCATTTAATAGTTGCCAAGAAATTTTATATGCAAACCAAGTTTTCTTTTTTTTTCTTTTTTTTTAATTTGTTGTTCAAAACCTTACAAAGCTCTTGACATATCATACTTCGAACAATAGTTTCAAGTGAGTTATGAACTCCCATTTTTACCCCAAATACAGATTGCAGAATCACATAGGTTACACATTCACATTTTTACATAATGCCATACTAGTGACTGATGTATTCTGCTACCTTTCCTATCCTCTACTATCCCCCTCCCCCCATCTTCTCTTTCTATCCCATCTACTGTAATTCATTTCTCTCCTTATTTTTTCTTCCAATTCCCCTCACAATCTCTTTTATGTAGTTTTAGAGGCCCAATAAATGTCATGGGTAAAAAGTGCTATTTATGTGTATGAGGTTAAGGTTTTGGAAATATTTCACATTTTTATTTATTGAATCTACTGATAAATTCTACAATTATACCTTTCAAATTGTGGTCCTTTTCTATCCCCAGAAAATAAGAAATCACTAAAATCTTCATTAGAATGTATAATTTTTTAAAGAGAGAGAGAGAGAGAGAATTTTTTAATATTTATTTTTTAGTTATTGGTGGACACAACATCGTTGTTTGTATGTGGTGCTGAGGATCCAACCTGGGCCTCACACACGCCAGACGAGCGCGCTACCGCTTGAGCCACATCCCCAGCCCAATAAATTTTTAAACACTAAAACATCATGTAGAAAGTAATTGTAAATTAGAATTCTTTAAATTTTTAAACTTTTTTTCTTTATGGGATGATGATTTGTTAAGTGCCAAGTATAAAGATAATCTGTTGTAGAATTTAAAAAATTAAGTTTTTTTTCTTGCAAATTATTTAGTATTGCTCTGTGAGTGAACATGACATCTACAATTTTTAAAGAGTAGTTTTAAATAATTTTTAGGTAAAAATTCAGCTAATTTATAAGATGAACTAAAAATCTTTTTATGATTCTTTCTTTGAATTGTGCTGTACAAAAGTTTCCCAAAGCATTAAAGTGAAAACTTGAATTTTCAAAAGTGATACATCTTGAAATATATTAATATGACACTCTACCTAAAATCAGATGTATTTGGTCTTTGTTAATTTCTGGCAAAGATTTAGCAGTGGCCATTGCTCCTGATGCCTGGTTTAAACTGATGGGTGCAGAACGTTTTTGTAAACCAGACACTGCTGCTTCTGTGAATTCTGCACACGTAAACCCTTATCTATTTAACCAAAGTGCCACCGCATGAAGAATTGGGGCCCAGGGATTCTGATAATGAAGTCTAGCTGTATCAATAGTCTCAGGAGTATAAAAAGCTCTACCTGTAAAACAATCAAATCAATTAAAAATATCACTTTCTATTACAAGTGTTCACTCATTTATAAATAACTAAACTTAAAAAACTACTTTTTTAAATTTTATTTTTTTAGTTTTAGATGGATAAAATATCTTTTTTAACCCAAAAGAGTCATCTGGCCAAAGAATTTCTCCTCTCCCAACTAACCACTCTCTATAGCAACTTTCCTAAAACATAATTTTAAAGATTCTCTTTTGCCCAGTGCCTGCCTCTCCCTCACTAATACCTGCTTTCCACCTTTTCCTGTCCCGGGCTGGCGCCATTCAGTAGCCATACCTTTTCCTATCCTGTCTTCATAGGATCCACCTCCTCACAGTCACCTCTCTTTCTACCATAACCAGGGAATGTGTTTTTTCTGTTTTTCTACTCTTTTTCTCCACCTTCTCCCACTACCAACACTGGGGATTTTCTCATCTCTCTTTGCCATAACAATGAATTCAGAAACAAAAACCACTGATACTAACTAACACTAACTAACAAAAATGTTTTGTTTCCTAACAGTTGGAAAATGTCACAGTGGCATAAACAGTAGAAATATGAAACTCCCGCTGGTATTGAATGGAAGGAGATGTCCATTATCTAACACAAACATTATCCCTCACTTTTGCAGAGGGATCCTGTGACTTTGGGTGGGATGTCTCCTACACTTTGATCTTTCCTTCATTGAGAAATGGATGCTTCAAATTAGTTTTTCCTTTGGGTAATGATGACACTGATTTGAAAAAAAATACAATAAAACGTCAGATTTCAAATACATGAGAATGAAATCTTTGGTGTTCCTCATCTGTAAGACAAGAGGCTGACACTGTAGATGTCTCCGAAGAACATAATCCAGCCAGGGTTTCTAAGAGCACTTCCTACTCAATTGGGTTCCCATGAGGCTGGACTCCTGCTCATTCAAGGAAGACCAACAAATGCTTACTGAATTAATGGAGCAACCAATCATGTTCTTTCAAATCACCAGGATTTCCTGACACTCTGGATTTTATGAGTACAGAATGAAGTGTGGAATACTTAATAAATAAGGAACAGTAAACTTGAGCCCCAGAGGTAATAAATGGATTTCAAAAGTCTTTAGAAGGACTCTAAAAAATATTATGTGCTGATCTGAGATCTTCAGTGGCTCCTGAAAGTGACTGTATTTGTGCAATTAAAATGATATATCAAGAATAAGGAGTGGATGCAGAACAGCATGAAAAAAAGGACAGGTAAAGAGAACAGCAGAATATGCTGCTGCTATTCTGTCCTTGCTGATGGCAGCAGCAGAAAATAAAGAACTGCAAGATACTTAACTGCAATTGATAGGTCTCACAAGGGTTATTGCACATGCTGAAAACAACCATGTGGCTAAAATTATAAATAGACAAAAAAAATATTTGGGCCATTTATTTCTTTCTGCCTCTTCATCCTTTTCTCTTTTTAATTTCTGTTTTCCTGTAGATAATCTACTTTTTAGAACCACTAACTTGACATTTAATAGAGGTTACTTTTTAGCAACTTTATTTATTTATTTATTTAGGAGTCAATATAGCTAACTGGTTTACCAGAAAGCTTTAAGATCCAAGCTAAACTATGTCCAAATCATGGCTCTTCTACAACTAGCTATGTGATCTCAGGAAAGTTTGTTGACATTACTGGGTCAGAGTTTCCTCAAGATTGTT